ATTGCTCTCGCAGATTACCTCGCACGAGTGTTGTTACAACTCACACTGCGATCAATTCGAAGTCAACATTACCGGTACATTCGCATCTCTCTCTAGAATTTTCTCTCCGTTCCCATCCCACGAGACAGAACTGTTGTTCGTTTTCATGTGATTTATTGAAATTCTTAAATCCAATACTGAACAGCCACCAAAGTTTTTTTCTCATCAGGCATAAGAGCTGCTAATTTTACATTTGTTCACAACGTTTGAGTTCAATCGCGTGCTTCGTTTGAAAACTAGCTCAGTGTGAATTTCAGCCGTCACTGTGGTGCGTGACATGAAGTTACGATCATGTTTGTCGAAAAAATATATATTAACTCGTGATTTTTAGCCATTTGAGAACTATACGTATAAGCAGCAGTGTTATTGTCAATGTCTGATTATTCAGTACAGATAATCAGCCACCTAGATAACCCAAGTAAGTTCCAAATGTTATATGTACATTATTTTCCGGCCGCCATATTGGTGTACAATTGAGGTACTTGTGCGCAACATTTCGACGAATATATTCAGTTTGAGAAAACGCGCAGACCTAAAACTTAGCGAGGTTACTTCTTTATTTATCCTCTATAATATCGCGATTTCTTGGCTTCATCCACTGGATGATTTTCGATTTGATTTATTATTGCGTGACACATTTAATTTATTGCACGCACCGTATGCAAATATGACACCCTGGGAACGAGGTTGATGACGCACCACTCGGACGGCCCGGACTGACTAGAGGAGCCTCGCCAGCAAGTTCTATCTTTCTATGTTTCTGGCTAAGATTTCTTCAAGCATTAATTTGTACAGACTACCGCAACAAAATAAAAGCACTGCACTGGATCCTTTCGTGGCAGGGGAACCAATCAACTATAATGCAGCAATAAAAAAGCAAGACAAATTGAACAGTGTAGTGACAGTAGCCCATCACCAAGCAAACTATATTTAAATTGGCACGCCCTTTTCTCTCGAAGAGTTTACACAAAAATGACTGTTTACAAATTTGAAATATGGCGCGTCACTCAGTCACCCCAGTGACGTCGTTATCCAGTTTATCGGACATCACCACCGCAAAATAAACAGCTGAGATTACTTCGGTGATTTTCCCTGCCTCCTACGCAGAGTCCCAGACGCTCTTTGAGCTCGTCACGCAATCTTTCCTACAGTGCGTGACGAACCACTGACTACCATTCGGTAACAAGCTAGCTATAACACCGAAACTATCACAACGATGTAAATACTAGCGCTCGGGTGATGATCAGTGATAGTTCGACAAAGAACAGGCCGGACCCAAATACGACAGACAGGAGGAATCCCAGTACGCATCTACGTATATACTGTCAGTTTTTTTCTTTTTTCCTTTTTTTTTTTGGCAGACTTCAGTTCTTAGGGAACGACACTGAAATCATGTTAGTTGAAGATCTCGTAGATTGTTCTTTTCAGTCCAAGGAAAACAGTCCGAGCACTCAAGAATATACTCCTATTAGGGCACAGAGAACACCTGGCGGCGAGAGCTTGAAAAGGACATTAAAAGGACTGGACACACATGGAAACAACCTGAAAGGATAGCTCAGGACAGAGGAGACTGGAGAGTTGTTATTGGTGGCCCATGCTCCGGGAGGAGTAAAGGGCCAAAGTAAGTAAGTAGGGCGCAGAGAACAGGTGCTTAGCAACTTCTCAGTGGGTCTGAAGTCTCTGGCTCTCAGTCCCTCCGCAGACTGTCTGAGAATCAGCCCAGTCACGCCCAGTCAGTACCGCTGTCTTTTTCCCAAAATTCATTGCACGACGACGGCGATGCCACAGCGTGGAGACAAGTTCGCGGCAACACTTGCCCAAACCTGCTAAAGTTTATGTTTCAAGCTTACCGCACCAGTTTTAACCCGTAGTTTCCCGTAGTTTTTAAACAAAATCAAATGAAACAAGCAAACGCTATTATTTCAATCCTCACTCGAGAGGCGACGTTACTACTTTTTCGATAGAGGAATTTTTTCAAATTTCCGGATTTCAGGAACATTTTCGAAGCATAACTGTTTTTAAGAATGGTAAGAGTTCGAAGCAAATCTTAAGTTGAAATATGCTTTTTAAAGGAAGTCGTATCCTTGAAGTTAAAGCGGAAAATGTTATAGAATTCCGCCATAATGAATGTTTCTCGATCTTACTTGGGATTTACAGATTTAGTATCAAAAACCTTGCTCTATAAAAACTACTCAAAAGTCTGGTGGAACGACCTATTTGCAGTCCATAGTCCCATGCTCTAACCTTATTTCGCTTTTTACTTTTTACACCGAATAAAGCGTGAATGTATTTCAGTCCACGTTGGCCAAGCCGGAGTTCAGATCGGCAACGCTTGTTGGGAGTTGTACTGCCTGGAGCATGGAATTCAGCCTGATGGCCAAATGCCGAGCGACAAGACTATCGGCGGAGGAGACGATTCCTTTAACACGTTTTTCAGCGAGACTGGAGCAGGAAAACACGTTCCTCGCGCCGTGTTCGTTGATTTAGAGCCAACAGTTGTCGGTGAGTGGACAAACAGATTCCGGCACTACTGAATTATAAACAAAAAAAAACCGTTCTTGGTATGGTAAGGTTCCTTGCTCGTTTTATTAGGCTGATGAATTTTCTTGTCATAAAGAGTATTCGTTTTGAAACTGGCTGTCACGTCGCTTCTCAGCTTTCAAGGCGATTAACTGTTCAGTGATGTTTTTACCTTTATAAATTAAAAAAAAAACTTTATTGACATTATCTTCACTTTGAAGATCGGTTCCAACCCACAAAATGACACTTCCTTGTTAATATTATTTCATATAGTATAGAACTCAGCGGCTACCACGTCACTCAGCCCGTTAAAGGCTTTACGAGTAAAAAATTCCTCAACGTTTTTCATTTTGTACAATATATATGCGAATGATCAATATGTATCTTTTTCGGTTTTAGCACATTGATTAGAACGAGGCATTGAAGTTGCAAACATAACTCAAATGACATGAACATCGCTCGAAACATCACCATTTCGTCACAATATTTGGATCTGGGGTTCGCCGATATAATAAAAATGATACATCCGAGTGATCGTTTATAATGGCATTATAAACTAACTGATTTTTAATTTTTTTTCAGACGAAGTTCGTTGTGGGACATACAGACAGCTGTTTCATCCAGACCAGTTGATGACTGGCAAAGAAGATGCCGCTAACAACTATGCTCGCGGGCACTACACCGTCGGAAAAAGTATTATCGACCAAGTCCTCGATAAAATAAGAAAACTGGTGAGTGTCTTGCCATTAAAGGTTTTTAATAGGACCACTGTTCCTTCATGAGCAGAAATATTGTAAAAAAATTGTTTTGGTTCATTTTTCAAAGGCTGACCAGTGTACTGGATTGCAAGGTTTTCTCATCTTCCATTCCTTTGGTGGTGGTACTGGCTCTGGATTCACATCTCTGCTTATGGAGCGTCTGTCTGTCGACTATGGAAAGAAATCCAAGCTGGAATTTTCAATCTACCCAGCYCCACAAATTGCAACGGCTGTTGTMGAGCCTTACAACTCCATTCTGACCACTCACACCACCTTGGAACACTCTGACTGTGCCTTCATGGTGGACAATGAGGCCATCTATGACATCTGCCGTCGTAACTTGGACATTGAGAGGCCAACTTACACCAACCTGAACAGACTGATTGGTCAGATTGTGTCCTCCATCACAGCTTCGCTCCGTTTTGATGGCGCCTTGAATGTGGATTTGACTGAGTTTCAGGTACGTTAAGTACTGATAACAATATGTAGTGCTTCTATATGTATTGTTAATTTCCTTCAGTTTCAAAGCGCCTATGTCCATCGGAATGTATTCAAATGCTGCTTGAGTTGCTTTTTGGTTTCACTGAGGTTTTGCAATTATCTTTGTTATACCTTGAATGCAGACCAACTTGGTGCCATACCCACGTATTCACTTCCCTCTGGCCACCTATGCTCCTGTTATCTCTGCTGAGAAAGCTTACCACGAGCAGTTGAGTGTTGCTGAAATTACTAACGCCTGCTTTGAACCAGCCAATCAGATGGTTAAATGTGACCCACGTCACGGCAAATACATGGCCTGCTGTTTGCTGTTCCGTGGTGACGTGGTACCCAAGGATGTGAATGCAGCTATTGCGACAATCAAAACCAAGAGAACTATTCAGTTTGTGGACTGGTGCCCAACTGGCTTCAAGGTTTGTAATTCGAGATTTAAAATATTTATCAGCTTATTTGTGGCCCTAAAATGTTCCTGGTAATTTAGGCTATGTTGCTATACCTTTCCTTTTCTTCCATTCTATGCTTTTATCGTTCAAATCGAGGAGGGATATGATAATAAATGGAGATTGTTTAATTTAGGTTGGCATCAACTATCAGCCTCCCACAGTTGTTCCTGGCGGTGACTTGGCCAAGGTTCAACGCGCTGTGTGTATGTTAAGCAACACTACAGCTATTGCTGAGGCCTGGGCCCGTCTGGATCACAAGTTTGATCTGATGTATGCCAAGCGTGCTTTTGTCCACTGGTATGTGGGTGAGGGTATGGAAGAAGGAGAGTTCTCTGAGGCTCGTGAAGATCTGGCAGCATTGGAGAAGGATTACGAGGAAGTTGGTGTGGACTCTACTGATGCTGAAGGCGAGGAGGAGGAAGGAGAAGAATACTAGTCACGTGATCATTCACGTCAGCTTGTTGCCAGAACAATTATCGTTGCAATAAAAGATTTTGTTCTGTAATTATCTTTGTTTATTTTTGGTGTTTAAGTCCACTTTAGAGATGATTCAGAGTTATGTGATTGTCAAATTCTCATTTTAACCCACCTCAAGAGTTTGAATAAGTTCCGTTGTTCCAAAATAATTCCGACAGGAAAATTCTTGATAAAGTATGGAAATCTGCGATCTATTTT